TAAACCCTTAACTGATTTAGCTTGCATTGACATTCTGTGCCTTTTCTGTGTCTTGTCTACTTCTTTGCTCTTTTCATTAGATCCTCCTACTACTACCACTCGACTGCCCACGGTTCCCTGGCATCCTTCGACTGATGGCATCACAGGTTTAGCAACAGAACCTAGAATAATAGATTTCCCATCATCAACTTTGCCAGCAATGCAGGAAGACACTTGGGGTACTGTCATCGGTAGTGCTGTGGGTGGGGCCCTCTTCCTCATACTGGTCAGTGTTCTGGTTGGAATTATCTGCTATAGGAGAAGACGGACGTTCCGTGGTGACTACTTTGCTAAGAACTACATTCCGCCATCAGATATGCAAAAAGAGTCTCAAATAGATGTTCTTCAGTCAGATGATGTGGATTCTTACCCTGACAGTATAAAAAAAGAAATAAAGCATCCAATGAACAGCTTAATATCTAAAGATTATTTAGAAGACCCTGAAAAACCAGAGTGGAACAATATAGACAATATTAACAGGTACCAGGAACGTTATGAAAGACCAATGGATTACTATGAAAGTGGAACACTGGGCATGAAGTATATGGGTGGTGTTTGTTACGATGACAATGAAGAAGACTTTGTTTCTCACATAGATGGCTCGGTAATATCCCGGAGGGAGTGGTATGTGTAGTAGCCACTGAAAAAAAAAAACTTGTATTTACAGTTCGTTTCATTGGCTGATCACTTTCAGATTGTTTATACTTACATATGGGGAGGAATAAACTTTTTGAAACTGATTTTTTTGGAAGGTTTTTATATTGTGACTTGACAACTGCAAATATTGAATTTGGGAGAAATGTATTTGAGCTGCTTTTTTTCCCTATGTTGTACTACTGTCTAAGATTTGAATTTGAAAGCGGAATGCTTATAATACTGGTTTATGTCAGAGGTTAAAAAAAGAAAAAGCTAAATTAAAGTTACCAGTCAAACTTGTTAATGGATATGAAGTGGCTGTCTTTGGGTCTCTGATTTAAAAAAAAAAAAAAAAAAGTTTACATAAGAGCTATTGAATAAAATTTCATGGGGCATTTATTCTGCAGATGTAGTAAGTGAATAACTCCAAATCTAGCTGCCATTTGTGGTAATCTTAATGCTTCTATATAACAAATTTACCAGTTACGATGAGTTGCAGTGGAATCAAAGCTTTATTTTTCATTTTTTTCTGCACAAAAATGAATACCTCTTAGCATTTTAATGAGCCTTCTTGTAACGATGTACTTAAAAGAAGTCATTGCACTGAAAGTAAGTTATGAACAAGGTTTTGAGGAGTAACTGTAAACTAGTAAAAGGCTTGTTTGAATAAGAAAATTATTTTTGTATAGTCATTGATTTATAAATCTTAAGCTTATGTGTATATATACATACAATATGGTATTTTGTTAAGCCTGTACTTGTCAGGATGTCAGAATCCTTTGTTGAACATCAGTCTCCTTTTGCAAGTACAGTGAACCCTTTCTGAAATGGGAATCCAAATTTAAACTGGACACAGCTAGTAAGAAAGGTCCAATGGATTTCTAAGCTGGAGGTGAAAGCGAACTTGAATATTTTCTGGGATGCCAATAAACACAGTGTGCAAGAGGTGTCAAAATGTTTGCTGGAGTTTATATGACCAGAAGCTAAAACAATGGTTTTACTCTGCTTCTGTGTAAGTTAGAATGTTTCCTTTGAGAGTAACTAGAACTTCAGATTATTATTAGGGAAGTGTACACTTGCGCAGCTGCTTCATGTAGTGAAAACATGCAATGCAATGATGCAACTACAGAATCTAGTAAGACACAGCAATTGAGATAAAAATGTGCAGTCTCTGTACTGCAGTGGATTTGTTTTTGCAGCAGACAACTTAGTGTTTTAACAGTGTGCTTGAATTGTAGAAAAATGGATTCAGAATGACAAGGAATAGCATGGAAATGCTTTTAAAATGTCTAGCATGGAAAAAAATGAAGCTGAGAAGTCTATCAGGATTTGAAGCATGAAAAAAAAAACAAAAACACACTTAAATTTGAAATGAAATGGGTCACATGCTTGCAGCTACTTCATGAGTGGAGTTTTTTGCTGGAATTACTTTCTATCCTCATGATCTTTGCTAGTTTAAAGCATTTAGAGCTTTATAAAAATAGCTGATTTGAGTGTTGTAGACAATACACTGTGATTGCATATGACTGCATGTCTTCAAAAAAAAGATTAAAACAGTTTTATTTGAAATTCAAATGGAAAACCTTCCCTAAACAACTCAAGTTCACGTCTGGATTAATGGAATACTGATACGTAAACCAAAGTCTCAAGAAGGTTAGAAAATTATATTGTGTATCAGTAGCTAGAGAGCAAACTCAGTTTGTTTCTAGCTGAGGGTTCTGATGCAAATTATTTCTGAAATAAACAGACCATACCTCTCCAAATAACAGTACTTGATATGTCATCTTTAAAAGATGGTGTTACTTTAAAACCATACAACATAAACATTTTCTCCACATGGGTTATCTTTTTCTCTGTGGAGTTTTTTGTGGGTGTTTTTGCTTTTTAAAGAAAAAAGATATATTTAATTCCCATTGGTTAAGAAGTTGAAGTGTTTTGGTATTGAAGCTGATAATAGGTATAGGACATACAAGTGTTGCATTGTTTTTGTATATTATGTCTGCTGTTTAAAGAAAAAAAAAGAAAAATGATTGTAAGTATAAATGGCTGTTGTGTGAATAAACTCTTTATTACATTCTCGAATATAGGTAGTGTTTAAAAAGTTTGACAGACATACTTAAAAGCATAAAACCACAGGCATTAGGAGCTATACTAATTAGACTGTTAAAACAGCTTTTTAGCATTTCCTCTTGGAGACCCTAACCTTTGAAAATGAGTTGCTTTAGAAATTAAAGAACCTTAGGAATAAGAGTTGCTTTCCATACAATTGCACTTGAAGCACTGTCAATGCACTGTGTAGGATAGAATTCAAAAAAGAACCACAGCAAGAAAAAGCATCCTCTTTACTCAGCTGCTGTAGTTGTTCTTTAACTATGTGTTGTAACTTCATTCCCATCTACCTGCACCTACTGGTGATCAAAGAATGATGTAGCTGGTGCTATACATCTTTAGTGCTCTCTGACTTGTTATCTTGGCAAAGTAGTCTGGGTTTGTTATTGTTCATCTTGTTACACTGAAAGTCTGTTATCTGGCCAGAGCAGTTCAGAAAAGTAAACTAAGTGAGCACTGCAATAATTGCACTTTGCTTTTTGTGTACTCGACACTTATTTGGATATTGCGGTGTTTCCTGGATGGAAGCAAATGGGTGGCTACTTTTCTCACATCAGAAACAGAATTCTGTGTCTAAACTTTTACTGAACCTAGTCCTATATATTAACTTCTGACAACACTTCCTTAAATAAGATGGCACTGAGTGTAATCTAAATTTAAGCCATTTAAAATGCAGTAGTTCAGCTTTCTGCTGTCTGATGTGCCCATTTTTTTTATGTGAGGAGGGGAATTAAGGTTCTCATATATATATGTATATATATGATTCTTGTATATACACAAGTATGTGACTGGCAAATAAGGCGTGTATGGTAAAAACAGTTACACTGATTTTTTTTCTGTAATGTGTTCCTTAAAATTAAGGGATAAAGTCATAAATTCACAAATTAAAAAAAAAAAAAACACACACAACAACAAACACCATCATCTTAGTTCTTTTTAATACAGTCTTTTCCTGTTGCTTAAAAATGTAAGTGGTTCCAGGGGGTTATTGTTGCCAGGGCTTTCATATGCTTTTTTCTTTTGAACTCAGGGATGAGTAAAGGGGTGCTTTAGTCCAGTGTAAAATGACATTTGAACTGCTGCAGAGTAATTGATTAAAAAGAAAGCTTATATAGTTGTTTTGTTCTTGGATGTTTATGCAGCTGAAAAGGCTCCTAGAGTTCCCTCAGCTAGGAAGCTAAATTGAGGAGGATTGTTTAGTGTTCAGAGAAAGGATATGAGCATTTCAGAAGGGAAATGGGGTATGTTGCATTAGAAATATAACTATAGAGCTGTGTTAACTTGAAACGCCTTCGCTGCTGTCTTTCTGATTCTGTATCAATACAGATCTGAATAGTTGTTGCTGTGTGCCACTAGTAATTTACAACTAGTGGTTTTAATGAAGCCAGTGTATTATTTGATATATGAATTATTCCTGTTGCACAACTTTTCGATAAGTTACTGGAAGTTGGGAATGTTGAATCTAATGTTGAAGCAGAGCTTGCTAGCAGGTTTCACACTTTTAGAAATCTTTTACAACTTATTGAATTCCTGGCGTAGTGAAACAAGTGATGTTTAATGGCTGACGTGTGCTAATTCAATGTGATTGTTAACCATAAGATGTAGCACTGCTGTGGTTAAATGAAAAATGCTATTTTTTAAAGGAAAAAATGTTGCTGTTCTTCACATAGCCCCCCTTATTAAGTTTACTGGTACAAATGGCTGTTTCTCTTAGCTTTAGGTAGTAGAGAAACATAGGTAGCCCTAGCAGTTGCTTTAAGTGTGAGCCAAGCATAAGTGAGTTTGCATTGTTCTTCATAGTATTTATTTTCTTGATTGTATGTTTCACTTTTTCCTTTCTGTAGACTTAATTTGAAGAGATCACTGGTAATGTTATGTTTTTTCCAGTTTTTTTTAGTTAATACCTCGTTCATATAAATAGTGTGTGTGTTCATCTTCATTTTGTCTTGAAATTTAAAATTGGAGCACATAGTATTTTTTAAAAGTAGTCAATGAAATGCTTGAATTGATATTTGTGACTTAAGAGATTGCTTAATTTCACCAATTTTTGAAATGGGTGGCTGGAGCAAGGTTCACGAGAGTGCTAGTACAGGAAGAGGCTTTCTGTTTGGTGATGGAGAGGAGAGACCTTCCTCAGGGCAACACTGAAATAGCTTGTTTGAGCATTGAAAGTATGTGAACTTCATAAAAGTGTAATCTATGCTATCACATTGCAGATATGCCATTTAAGCAGACATCTTCTGTTGCTGTAGCAGGGGCTGTGATTGGAGCAGTCCTTGCTCTTTTTATCATTACCATCTTTGTGACAGTGCTGCTGACCCCAAGGAAGAAAAGGCCATCCTATCTTGACAAAGTGTAAGTATGTACTGCATTTTTTTTTAATTGAGCACAATGTGTAGAAAACACTTAGTCCATAGGTAATTCAAATGACTGAGCTTCTTTAGAGTCTGTAAGTCGTCATGATTTTAGGGCTGTATTTTCAGGGTAATCACATGTAAAAATCACTGTTTTTTTTTTAATGAAGAAGCTAAGGATTTGTTTCAAAGGTAGTAAATATTCATCTACGTATTCTTCATCTTAGTTCTGTTTTATATTTTTCTAATTGCTTAGAGGGTAGAGGGAGATCCATCTTGACCTGCCATAGATATAAGACTATTGGTTTATCATAACCATAGATCAAATATGAAAGTAAACTTTTGCTCTGTAGAAGTAAAGGTCTGTTAAGATTTATCTTGCTGTACGTGTGAGATGAAGCAAGCACCTGTAGGTATGTATGCTCAGGAACAACCGACTTAATGTGCTTCCTGGCACATTAGTTGTTAAGTTTCTGATACAGCACATGGTTTCTTGTGTTAAGCACCTGATATCACAGAATTGTGGGGAAATGGACCTCTGGAGATCGTCTAGTCCAAACCCTCTCCTAAAGCAGATTCCCTGCAGTAGGTAGCACAGGAAAGTGTCCAGGTAGGTGATATAGACATGCAAAACTAGGCAAACAAATTCTGTAGGGATTTAGTCCACGTAGCCAAACCGTGTAGACCTGATTTGGAGCATGCATTAAAAAGTGACAGTGGTGAATATCTGTAAATAAGTTCTCGTGTTTTTTTTCACATATACTCTACACAGTTAACACTGAAATTGAATGGGAAATGAATGTCCCTCATCTTTTAATGCTTATTGAGGACTAGAGTAATATGCTTGAATTGATCTTGGAAGATAAGTCAGGTGTTACCCTGTAGATGAGAAACTTCTAAAGTGACTAGAAATAACTGATGTCTGTTTCTGTTAGATTTTGTAGTTAGAATATTGAGTTAAGAATATTGATGTGAAGTCTTAGGCATTTAAGTTACTAACCTTTTGCTTTTGCTGAGAAAGCTCATAACCAATTTTGTGCAAGACTTTGGTTACAAGTCTTTTCTGACCATTCAGCAGGACTTCACGAATGTGGCTTGTCATCCTGTCATACCTTGATCTTTTTTTAATACAGGATTGATCTTCCACCCACTCACAAACCATCTTCACGTGAAGAGAGAGCATTCTCTCTACCACAGAAAGAAACTGTGATTCAGGTGAGTAAGGGATTATACGTAGAGACAAAGTGTTAACTTTGCTGGATTACTTTACTTTGAATTTGCTTGAATTTGTTGATAATGTACAGAGACTGGTTGTTCATAACTGAAAGGTTTCTCTACAGATGTGATATCTGAATCTTATGTTGTTGGTGTTAATGTAGTCTCCAAAGATTTGGGAGCTGGTGGATAGATCCTTTTTGTATCTCTAATACTGTTTGATAGACTTCGTTACTATTGAAGTAGAAGTTATGCTTGAGATTCTGTGGTGATTAAGGTAATATACATAGCTTGATTTAAAAAAAAAAAAAAAACAAAACTATTTTACGAGGAGCAGAAACATATATTGGACTTAACAAAAGACTTGAGCACCATGATCTTTTTTTTGCTGGTTAACAATTGCCTTTTTTGTAAGCTACAAAAAGTTTGAGTGGTTGGAATATTTTAGTATTTTAGCTTTGCTGTCATTAACTCAGAGTATGCTTTTTTGATTCTCAGTGAGAATCACAAAATCACTGAAGCATCTGCAATTACCTATCTGCTTCCTTTTTTACTTGAATATATAAATCAGCAACAAAAGATTCTACATTAACTCTGTGACAAGTACTTGAATTTTTAGTGGTGCTATACAAATGACATTGGTCTGTGTTTTTTAAAACATCTGGCTGTTCTGTGGCTGTAGTCTGACATGGAAGTCTTAGCTATTGATGTTCTTAATAGCACTGGAAATTCTGTTGAAGATCTACAAGTGATTGCTAGCTACTAAACCTTCCAAATATGAATTGCCAATAAAAGCTTTCCTCTAAATGCATAAAAAGAATATGGTGCATTATAGATAAAAAGCAGAGTAACAGTTGCTAGTGTTGTTTGAGTGAAGTGGGAATCTGAAATCTACTGTTACTAGTACAAGTATGATTTATTGATATGAAAGTCCAGAAAGTTTAATTGGCAAGAATATAGTGAGTTTTCATCATTTGGTCTTAATGATGGTGTAAAACATAAGGTAACAAAAACAATGCTTTTTGCACTTCAGGTTGAGTACCTTCTTGTGCTTACAATGATGTAACTCTTCTGATGTTTTCTTAGTGAATGCAATACTGATGGATCATACTTGTGTTAATACAGTCCTATACTTGAATTATGATGAAAGATTATCTTGTGTATTTAATCAAAGGTATAGAATATTTTGAGTTACCAGCATATCTGTAGTGCTGCCAAACAGTGAAGTGATAACAAAGAAATGCAGTTCTTTATCCTCTACAGGGATATTCATAGAGTTTAGTTTATATTCCTTTTATGAACTGTCTGCTGTCTTTGAATTCTCTATGGTGATGCTTGCTGTGGATTCTGTTAGTGAGTATTCCAGAACTAAGAAAAAGTGCAGTTGACTGTTATTTTGTTCAAAGAACAAAATGTTTTATTGAAATACGTTTTACATATAAAAAGAAAATACTCATTTTCCTCAAACTGGGTATGTTTATAAGTTGTTTTGGGGTAGTGGGGAGAGATCCAGTTTTCTTTGAAGCCAGATGTTGACTTAAAAAAAAAAAAAAAACAAGAGATGTTGGCATAACATTGTTAGCATACTTGTTTCTCTTCTGAAATTGTGTAAAGCTGAAAAAAAACTGAAGGCTGTCTTCCTAGCTGTTAATGATACTACTCATAATCATGTACTGTCTGTTATGCTTGAGGCAAGTGCTTCTGCTTAATTTAACAGGTATGTCAAAATACTACCTGTAGTCAAGAAGTGATTGGTTGTATTGTTTTGTTTAAGAGGCAATAGTTAAATAGCTGTCAAGAGGGGGAAAAAACAAGTTAGCCTGCTACTGTGTCTTGTTTGACAAAGTGTCTGTGCTAGCCATGCCATTGGTTCCAAGTGCTGTCTGATCTGCAGTATCTGGACAGATGTGAGAAGTGTGCTGGTGAGCCTCTTTATAAAATATATTCAGGTGAAAGCTTCCAGTAGTGCTGAAAGGAATGGTGGATTAAGTGTTGCTGCATTGATGACAGCAACAGAACACATGAAATCTGAGCAGAAATCATAGACCACACAAAAGTGCAAAGTAATATAAAAGGATAGTGAATTGAAATGGTGTCTTTAGCATACTCCAGTAGCTGAGCATTGTTTCGGTTTAAGCAAATTGATATAATATGCAGCTTTGTAAACTATCTCTATGTTTAAGTCAAGCACAGTAGTATTTTGGGTCACGTTAAGTGTTTCAGATGTAACTGAATTAGCTGAAGTTATCCTCTTTGTGTGTCAATAGAAGGTTTTTGAATTACGTTTTATCTATACTGAAGCATTATTATTGGAAGTCATTTTTTCTATACTGATGTTTGTGGATACCAAAGTATATATTCCTATGGTTCCTATAAGAATTGAGGAATTATGGTTGGCCCTAAGAGTGGGGGAGAGAGAAGTCCAAACTGAAGGGATATTAAATGGAACAAAGAAAAAAATGACTTATTTTTACTTGAATATATTGCTAGGAACCGAAACTTAAAAAACATACCTGAAGCAGGAACTCTTTTTTCATTGTGAAACAGTAGTTATTTGTCTTGACAGACCTTTCCAAAAGAAGGATACAAAATCACAAATGAAGTATATTTTATAATATAATGCATGAATATTCAGATCTTGAAGTACCAAAAAATTATTTGGGCTTTTTGTAGCAACAGAAATAAAGAAATACAGTTCAGTAGGTAATTCTGTATCTGAGGAGTCTGGCTTGAGACTTGAAACATCTAAGAGTACTTAATATATGTAGCTAAGTATAGCCTGACAGGTGGCTCAGCACTGCACAGTTCTTCACTGACTTTTGCCCCCCTCCACAGTGGGATGTGGGGAGAAAACAACAACAACAAGTAGAACTTGTGGGTTGAGGAAAAACCTATTTACTAAGATAGAGGAAAGCATCATTATGACAAATAAAAATAAAGATATGTATGTAGCCAGTGATGCAAAAGCAGTTGCCTTCCACAGGCTGATGTTAAGCCAGTGCCCCCCAAGCAACTTGAGAGAGAGCTGAACTTCAAAGACCCTTCAAAGCTCCATGTCGTGGTATGGCTTCTCTTTTCCCCTGATTTGAAAAGGAATATTTCTATTGCCAGTAAAGAACTTTAACATTTGATTGGATAGCGTAGTGTCTTAATTTCAGCTGACACAAAACTGTTTTCTTCATAGAGTCTGGCATGATGCTGTGTTTTGGTTCTAGGAGAAAAAACGATGTTGATAACACATTGATGTTTATAACTGCTAAGCAGTGTGGTTCAGAGCCAAGGCCGTTCTCAATGAGGGGCCCAAGGAGCTGGGAAGGAACAGAATTAGGACAGCTGACAAACAGACAGTGAGCTTGCATAACACAATTAAAAGCGTAACATTGTGTAATGACCTTGAATGGGTGACAATATTTTTGGATTAAATTAAAAAATAAATAATTCTCAGTAGTCTCAATTAAATAGCATAGTCTTTATTCATTTATAGATTGACTCTTTTGCATTCTTGTAGTTTTTTTTCCTGATGATCTTAATACAGGTGGGTCTTCCTTGAGGGAAAAGCAAGCATTGCTTTAGACAGAGAGAACTGTTTAGGCAAGCAAGATAGAAAAGAAGAAAACGGGAAATGTAAATAGGTAGTCATTTAATACTGATGTAGGATCTTAAAATAGGAGACAAATATTAAACTGATAGGGAGTAGAATGAAGCACTGAGTCTTCTATTAATGGACTTTGAATGTATGAAGGAAATTTATTCTGTATGGGATGGATTCCCATAAATAAGAATTGTTAAATGTTGTTGGGATTAGAAAGGACATCTTTATAATCTAAATCAAAAAGGATGAGGGGTAGAGAAGTGCAAGATGAAGATGTTAGTGAGATAATTGGTTTAGTTCTTTAAAGGACTGTTTGAGAGAGTACAATTAGAGTAAAATTCAGTGCTCTTATGAAACACTGAAATACATGAAGGTAGGCAAATGGAAGCTAGTGTACATAGAAGAGCTTAAAGCACCAGATATGTTGTGTACTTCTGTATGCAAGCACTGTTGGGTAGATCAGCACTTGTTTCCTTTGACAGAATATGATTCTGAATTGTCACTTGCTCCATGGCAGTAACATGTGGAATTCCAGTCTCTTGTAGTAAGTGTTGTTTTCTTGCCCTTTGAGAGTATTTCCTCTGTCAATGATTTCAACTGAATAAATGATTCCAGTGGAACTTTCTGTTCTGGCTTCATAGATTTAGCCTCAGTCATGTCTAAATCCACTGTTGGTAGAAATTCTAGGGCACATGAATTTTTTTCTCCTCCTAGAACCACTCTTTATATGGTGAATTCCTGTTGTTAGAACTAACATGAGAGAACACTGCATTTCTTAGTTAGCAGTAAATAATAGTTTGCATTAAACCATGGATTACAATCTGAGAATTTAAGTTTAAAAGAAGTATGACTTTGCAGTGGTGGGAAGGGAAGAGTTAATAGGAAATACAAAGCAGGAAACTTGACAAAAGTTTGGGGAAAAAATAGGTCTGTGAAGACAGTGGAAAAGAATAGTGAAGGAATAGGGGAAAAAAGCATGAGATTTTTCAGCTTGTTTCACCATGTATTTGCAGATAAGGTTATAAGTTAAGTAGCTCAAAATAACTTAAGGAGAAATGATACCACTAAAGTATCATATATCACTGAAGGAGTGATTTCCACTAAACGTGGAAATAATAGGGAATTGAATTGCTTGCTTAGAAGGGTATTACAGGTTTTATTTTTGTAAACCTAAGATTGAGAGAGAAAAGAAAAAATGGAATAACTTCTGGATACTCTGTATCACTTGTTATATTTTAAATCTGTAAATGTTTGAAGAATGGGGTTCCATGGGACTTAAATATGTGGGCAAATGCATTCTCTGTAACGTGTGCAGTGTATTTGGTGAAGCACAGAAAAGGGGCAAATAAGCGTTTGTTACTAAAATACTAGAACTCTGTCTCCCAGATACACTCAAGTTAAAGGTAAGTATATAAAAATACACCAGATGAGAAGTGGCATTTTGCTTGAAAAGGTATTCTAAGTTAAGTCTTAGTTCAGCTGTTTCTGTTTGGAAGTTTCTTGTATGTTCCTCTTCAGAATAAAGTGTTCCTCTCCTTTTTTGTGCTTTTGTTCCTTTTTTTAGGGATAAACCAGGCATTTTTAGACCTAGACTCTTTTTCTTAGTCCAAACTCTAACTTTCTATGAACACTGTTTAAGCTGATCAGTGCTGTAATGAGTAACTTCATGGAAATATTTTTGAACTTGTGTATGTACATAGCCTGCTCTGAACAGTGACTCCTATTTATTGCCATGGAAACTGCAACAGAGCACAATAACACTACTTGATAGAGCAAATTCTTCACTACAAAATACTATTCTTTCAACATAGGCAGCACCAGTAGCTATGCATTTTTTTTGCTTGCAATGAACAAGAGCCTGTGTGCCTATCCTGTCAAAATAGGTGACTAGCAGAGGTGACTTGCTGTTGCCACTGCAGAAACACCACCCTCCACCATCTACCTCACTGTGCTCAGATTCACTGTTTGGTCTCCATCAATGTTCAGCAAGTGTCAGTGAATGTCAAAGAGTGCTGTTTTTTCCACATGGAGGAATTCAGTGACACATCTTTGCTTCATATGCACTATGTTGGATGCCATTTGGTCAGACTGCCCCTCTGCTGCCATCTGTCACACAGCAACACGTATAATGGAATCTTGGCAGGAAGGTTCAGTATCTACTGCCACGTGGTTAACCCCCACTTCTGATGCAATGGGGCAACATAATAATGTAGGAGACATCACTTTCAGAGCAGCTCTCATAGGCAGGTGCTAACAACAGTGAACTATTTGACTTGAAGTTGTGAAGAAGAAGCTGTATCCAACTAAGTAGTTTTTTATGAACAGTACACAGTTATAGCCTCTTTGTATTTTGTTTTGCAGTGCACCCCTTTATAGAAATTACATAATTTGATGGCTATTTGTTAGGTTTGATTTCTTTAATGATTCTTTTGCTCCCAATGCAGTGCAGTTGCCATTGTCCTGTGGAGGTAATTACAGGCACCATATCTTTGTCAGCTGTTTCTTTCTTTTTGTCATTTAATCCTATAATTACTAAGACTGTGCTCTGGTTGTCCACAAAGTTTCACTTTTCAAGACCTTTCTCTCTCTCAGGCCATTGACTACATAACCTCAAGCTACATTCTGGTGCCTTTGGTCTCATAGCCTATTCCATGTTCCAGTAATGTTTTTCAGCTGTTTGCCTGCTTGGTCCCCTTGAGATTGCTGATGGCCAAAGAATGGTGAAGCTGTTAAATGGACTAGTGACAGACTTGAACTAAAGCAAGTAGACATAAGGTGCAGAGTTGTCTGTTTTCTGAATAAATTTGACAAGTTTACATAGCTTTCAGTGACAAATTAGTTGTAACTACAAAGAAATCTCCCTTTACTTGTCGTCTTTACACCACATAGTAAGACTGCTGGAAGACATAATGATTCTTTTCCAGAACAACCCCAGAGGTTGACAGAGGGTTGATTCTTTAGAAAATGACTGCAAGAGTAAAATGAATGTTCATCTTGAGCTTTGCAGAGTAAGGTTTAAGTTTTAGAGTGGGGTGGAACAATTTCTGTGAGAAGTGCTGCTACTGGATTATGATTTTAATGGTAGAAGTTACAAGACTTAGCATGGGTGAGACATCAAGACCATGCAGATGCCTCTTGTTTCTTGCTGTATCTGTGCTGAGTTGTTCAGATAAATTCATTCATATCTGCTGAATCTAATCTAGTTTCACTTCTGAGATGCGAGCAAATTTTTCCTTTAAGCACTGAGCACATCAGAAGTTATGTAAGGCACTTGAGCATTGTTTAGCATGATCGGTGCTTGAAGCAAAATGAGTAATGACTGAATAAAATGGTTTACCGTTCTGAGAGGAAATATAGAAGGGCAGATGTTTTTTCTCTTACAAAGTGACGAAGGATTACATAGAATGGAAGAATCTGTTCTCTGCCTGTTGATTAAGACAAAAAATATGTATTTGCAGAAATGTGCTTAAATATTAAGAAAGCTTGCAAATAGAAAAATAAGATAGCCCACCGTAGGAACATTGCTTGTAGTCCAAGCAGGTTTTGAATAGCATCTCCACTAGCTGTTCAGGCAAGATATAGGTGATTATACTTGAACCAAATGTCTGGAGGAGCTCTGGAAGTTCACTTCTATCATAATTTTCTAATTTGTTTTCAAGAGCGTGCTATATCACTGCCTGTAGTGCTGGTTTTCTAATAATAGATGATACCAGTAACTTTTACTTGCTCTATATGTGCGTGTTAATCATATGCTGTTTATTTTTGATAATGAGCTAGTTGCATTTAGCTTTTTCTTCAGATATGTAGGTGAATTTAAGCATAGCTTGTTATGGAGTATATATGTACTTCATTATGGTTTTAGTTATCATTAATATGTAACACACTAAATAAACCACAATTATGTCCTACTTACGGTATCAGCAGTAGTAATAATCACCATCTGTTTCAAAAGCAGTATGACAACTCAGGAACTTACTAAAATAGTATTTTCTACCATTGTTACATCTTCAGTCTTTAAGACGTTATTTATCCCCTATTAAATATTCTAATGGTCAGGTGTAAAATCTTTGTTTTAGCATTTTTTATGCTTGTGTAACTATTAATACTTTTGTTCTGTCTGCTAGCAGGTATGCTTAAATCACGAGGCTTGCTTACTCTAATGTTTGTTTGCTATGTATGTTGCATCTGAAAATATCAAAACAACCAGACACAAAGCCCCTAGTACATGCAGTAACAGTTGTGTTATGAAATGTATGAGATATAAGTGGGGCAGAGAGCAATAACTGTTTGCTATCAGAGAAATTCTATTTTCATTGCTTATCTTGGAGAAAACTGTTGGATAGGATAGTAATTATCCAAGTCTTTGATCAGTAGATTGATGTAAGTTTTAAGACTGCTTTATTGCTGTAATATCTTTGGGGTGCTGATGAACTTGGGAACTTCAGTGTTAAGCTGTCTGTAAAAAAAAAAAACAACTGTGTTAATCTTGGTCATGATGCTGTTCTTCAACCAATGAAGGGCAGAATTGCAGAATTGATTCTAGCTACTTTTGAAAGTAGGACAAGTGATCAAATCAGACCCCGTCAGGTGGACAAAGTTGTGAGTATTCTTCTGTTGCATTACCAGTGTTCCAAAGGACTGGTTAGTTTAATTAAGCAGAGGGCCCTTGAGTTAGAGAAGTTATTACTTCTGCATATGGTTAGAGAGAAGGGATGCCATCCAGAGGGACCTGGACAGGCTTGAGATGTGGGCCTGTGCCAACCTCATGAAGTTCAGCAAGGCCAAGTACAAGGTCCTGCGGCTGGGTGGGGGCAATTCCAAGCACATAATAATTTGAAGACAGACTTTAAGAGGCAAGTTTTGGCTTTGTGAAACAAAGGCAGCATGGACTGCTAATAGGAAAACTAATCAGCAAAACAAACTTAAGTAGATGAGCTACAAATATATTTATGCTGATTTAATCAACAAGATACTGCCACTAGAAAACTGTATTTTTCTGAAGTGAAGGCTCTACTTAATTTCATCAAGTTGAGAAGCAAATATGTTGTTCCCTTCTACTTTCAGTAGTATACAGTTAAATTGCTTTTCTGTTAACTACTTGTGTGTTCTCAAACTCAGCATTAATCCATATAGCTGTGGAAACTTTACCATGCTTTGAATTTCACTTTAACCTATTTTGTCTAAAATCGATGTCATAAATTAAAGCTTTTTAATTTCTTCAACATGCTTGTGTTGAAAGTAAAAATAAAATACGTGAAAACAACATTTCTAAACTGACAATAGCATTCTGCTTCCCACCAGGAAGAGTTGGTAAAAAGTATTTTAAAAGGCAGTCAGTTAAGACACTTTGCAACACAGAATGCGTTTTGTGATTAGTAGTGTTTTTTTTTGTGTAAAATGAATCTGTTCTGCAGTGTTGGGTTTGACTTGCTTCCACTATAACTTGTTTTTTTCCAGAAAGAACATCTTGCTTTGCAAAGTCAGTATGGAGAGAAAGATACTGGAAACTTGCAGCACATGGTAAATATTCAGATAGCTTGAATTCTTGATCAAAGCCTTGATTTCATCATGTTTCTTAAAATAAGGGTAGGAAGATATTTCCTGCTAGGAAAAACAAAATATTTGGCCATCCTAGTCAGTAACTATTGGGTACATGGATCTGCTATCCCTCAGTGGAATGGGTCAGTATCACTTCAATATCCGGTATGTCCTAGTTTTGCTGACTAATTCAAATGCATGAACATCAGAACTTCCAAGTTCTTGTTTGAGGAGAAAAAAACATAACAAAATACAGGAATGTTTGACAGATGCTTTCATAATTCTGTGTTTTGAATTAGAGTTAGAATTTGTCATTTGAAACATATTTTGACATCAACTAAATAGTTACTAACATTTTTTTGTCATCTAACAGTCTTAGTGGTTGGAGTTCTTAAGTTCATGCTTCTGAATTTTTAGGATTGTTTTGGAGATCATACTGTCTTCATTTTCATTAAAACTAACAACATTAAGTACTGTGATCTCTATACATGAACTATAAAACTGATTACTTCTTGTGTGTGCTTAGAAAGCTGTGAATGAAAGGCAACTTATCTGTGAGGCTGAAGAGCTACAGGAACAACAGTGTCTTCAGCATATGTACCCTGTTTATCAGCAGACATACTACAAAAATTGGAACAGCGGACACCCTCAAAACTCCGGACCTGGAAGAGTCTACATCAATCCAAGGGAGCACTATGTATGATTTATGTATACTGATGCTAGCTTTAAGATATGAGGTTTTGCATATTTACTGACCATAGGACCAATAAGTCTTGTTGGCTTCCATTTCTAAAACAATTGCTTTTCTTTTTCCTGTGGGAAGAAATTGCATGGCAGTTCTGTATAAGTAAACCTTATGGAATTTGTGACTTAATCTTGCTTCTAGTGTTTTGTATGTATTTTAGTAGTTACAGCACAATGTCAACCTGCCAAAAGAGGAGAGAGCTATCTGGCTTTATTATTTATGCTTTATAGGCTTAAGAAGTATTATTTACAGTTCAGTTAGTTGACAGACAACAAAATGTGCTGCCCTTGTTATATATGATTCCATAGGGAATGTTTTCCCTTTAAATGGATATTTTGAAATTACTAACTTTTACATAAGTAAGGTAAATACTGTCAAGGGAATTGGATCCGTGGTGACATGAGTAGTCTCAGGCTGTGAATCAATTCCTTTGCATCTTAGAAAACTTGAGATAATTACCATTTTGACTAGCCTTAGCAACCGGTTTCTCCACTGCCTCTACCTCTTTGAGTCAAATGAGCAACTAAACTACCTCTCAAGTACTAAATTACTGTTTTATAAAATGTTAGGTGTCTTCTCACCTTGTAAAAATAGATGCAATTTCCTTACATCATCAGAAGCTTTTCTCCTTTTTATTTGGATCTTGGCTGTGAATCGATGTACTTCTTCATTATAGGTTCAGGTAGGTCTATATGAAATTTATTTGCTGGACAAGAATTAGTAGATAAAACTGTCTGAAAGCGTCTTACGTTTAAATGCATCTTAACTACAAATTACTATTTAGCCTTCTTCCTCAGTGAAGTGTTGTGGAGTTTCTTCTTGCTTGGCAGTTAATACATTTTATGCTCTTTGTGGTAAAACTACTGCCATGAGGCATTCTCACGTCTTAGCAAGATAAGGAGAGCTTTAGTAGTCTTCAAGTTTCCAGCACCATTTTCTAATCTTAGCCAGTACTATGAAATAACTGCTGAATGTCCTGATGCCTCCAGTGCTAACATTATTCCAGATAAATTTTTATCATTGTGGGTAATGGTTGAAAAAACTTGCTCAGGATCTTCATAGAGAGGGGAAGGAAAACAAAAACAAAAACTTTCACAGTAAAACAAATATTCTGCAAGTAAAAAAGTGTATATTTGTATTAATGCCAAAATGAGCTCATGGGACTACTTATTGTTGCTGTTTTAAAATACTTCGTCTTGCTGACTGGAATTACTCAGAAACTTGCACATAAGTACAGAACAATGATTTTTCAGTCAGATTACTTTAAGACAACATTAATTATGTCTCTTTCTGAACTAATTGTTGTAACAGATTGAACATTGCTTCTGTAATATTTGTGGTTTTTTCTTGAAGACGTTTGAAATTAAGACAGGAAAGAGTCACCATTGTAGAAACAATAGAATTGAAAGCTGATAGGTATAGTTAAATATGCTGTGAGCAGAATGCTTTTATGAAACTTGTATTCATCTCCATTATAGTGAAGTTAATGACATCACTAATTACAATAGCATTAGGTAAATATGTCTAGTTTGTTACAGGAAGCAGCTAGAAGCTGATGGCTTAGATGTTCATGTTCTGGAACTGGATGTTCATTCTTTACTTTTGGAGCAACTTATGCAAAAGCAAGCTGCTTATTGAGAAATGTTTCCCATTAATTTCCATGGGAACTAAGACAGATAAAAAGAGCAGAACAACACTATTTGATAAAGCAAATTCTCAGCTACAAAACACTTGTCAACAGTCATCACCATTAGCTAATTAGCAGGGATGAGCTAATTGATGTGTTAATGGAAGCATTCATCATTTCATGGTGTGGCAGCTGTGCATGTTTGTCTGGAATGTGGCTTGTCTTTCATGTTGTGGCCACTGCAGAAACATACCACCTAGCACCTCACTGTGCTCACATCCACTGTTTGGTCTCCATTAAATGTTCAGTAAGCATCAATGGATGTCAGTGGGTGCAATTTTTTTCTGCACGGAAGAATTCAGTGGCGGACCTCTACTTCATACAAACTTCCATATCAGATGCCAAGTTGATAGCTAAAGGAGTGGTGGAGTAAATTGTTGGTGAAGATGATGTTTGGGAGCTGTTTTGAACCACTTGAAAACTTGCTGTTACGGACTAATGAGCATGCTCATTTGAATTCTGAACAACTATTCTCAACTTGAAACCTGCTATGTTTGGGACTTGAATAAGGTCTTCTGCATCCACAAATTTTTCCATTGTCAGTTGTTTTTTGATATTAGACAAATATCACTGAGCAAAACTTGATATGAAAGTGTCTTGAATATGCATTACAGGTGGTTCAAAACTTGTATTATAGTAATGCTTACACTAAATTTGTTAGCTCAATATGATGCTCTGAGCATCATATTGATGATAACTTCCTATTGTGTTCACAGACTGGAATTCTGAACTTACACTTTATTTCTTGTTTGCAAGTATTTTGTTATGAAGAGTTTGAAACGGTGGGGTGAGGGGAAGAATAATGTTATCAACAAAATTTTTAATTTTATTTGAAAAGAATACTAAGAATGTGAGAGTATCCTTAAGAAAGATGTAGTCTGCCTGTGTTGCTCAAGTTATTTGGGGGGGGTCTGGGTGGGGGGAACTTATAGAAAGTCTTGCAAGCTGCCTGTTAGCATGTACTTTTCCCTAAAGTAGTCAGGAAAATACATTACTGTGGTTATTATCTGTGAGGACTTCTTTTTGTAATCCATTCAGGGATATTTAGAATAAGTATTCTGAGATGTTGCCTACAGTTTTGTGTGTGGCTAGATGTTCTGGGGTGGAGATATTGCATAGAGCTCTTTAAATATGAGAGTATAAATAGGTAGGATTTTGCACAGAAGTTGCACACTTAGAAGTTTCTGCCTTTTTAAGGTCTAGAAAATGTCTTATTTTTGTACATATTCAAATGTTTGTATTTTGGATTATGGCTTAAATAAAAAATATACAAAATAAAGGCTTTTATTGTTGTTTACATTTAAGATTAAGTTGTTAAAAATGCAGCCAGTTTCTTGGCATGATGTGTTTCTTCGTCTCTGGTTGTGTAGTTGAATCTTATGACTTTTCTAGCAGTACCACTTGTGAATATCAGTGGTGGATATGAAAGCGAATGCTTTGTCAGCATTTGTTTTATTTAATAGGAGTTTGTGTAAACTCAATTTTGATCCTCAAGTCTATTTAGTGAGTTTTGTATTCTCTATACATCTGTGCATTTAACAGTTTTGTTTGTTGCGTGTGTCTAAGTGTGATAATGTGTGAGCATGTAAATCACTTGATGATTCTTGACTGAGTGCGTAACCACTGACTTTGGGATGACAGTTGATTTGGACTTGATTGCGTACCTGATATTTTCTGAAGATACCATATTTTGCATCACTGTGGAAAATAAAGTGGGAGGAAAAAAGCACACAGCTGACCAAATAGGAAGCTGATAGGAGCTTCCATACAAGTGTTGAAAGCCCAGTCTGAGGCTACCTGAGGTGCTGCTGCTACTTACTGGAGGAATGAAGCGAGGCTAGAGAGTAGTAATTGTTGAGGACTGTGCACTTGGGTAGTGCTTGCTCTCAGGGTTGTTTTAGTTCTGTTGAAGAGCTTGTTTTGTTGCTCTGATTTGCATCAGTAAATAATTAAAACATGAACAGACTTTCCTCATTAGAGGTATAATTGAAACCTTTCAAATAATTGTTTTAATTACTGAGTGTTCCCATAAGGTAACAGAATATGCCTTCTGTTTTTCTTCCCATGTGCTGGCCTCTTATATCAGAATAACTACACACTTGTTTTAGTGCAGGTGAGTGAAAACTTATGGATATTTATACAGACACACGGATCAAGACCAGCTTTTCTATAAGAATGGAATTCCAAAAGGTTAGTAACCAAAGAGAGCTGGTCAAGGGATAAGAGATGGAATTCAGCCTAATATGTTGTTTATTACAATTTAATATATTAACTCTGCATGCTTGGTACCCTGACAGTGATGATGTTTTTCTTCTAGTTAATCCCTAATCTTAAATCTCTGATACAAACATAAAGTTACCAGAAACACCTTTGTTTTGTTTTTGCCTGATTTGTTCTGCTGTTATTAAAATGCTTTTTTTGTTCATAAAACTTGAAGCAAACGCATATGGCTAATTGCTCTACCAGTAATATTATTTCATCTTCAGTTGAAACAATAAATATTAAGACCGTGTCTTCCTAGCAGGACTGAACAGTTAAAGAAAGCTGAAGGTTACTGACAGGTAAGTGGTCACTGCTAATACACTCATTAGGTCTGCAATTCCAATATAACTGCTGAGTGGTGCTCAATTTGTACAGCTGGTTACAGGATACATTGAGTAATAAAAAAAATGTTATGACCATTGTGATGTCTTGACAGCTGCATCCTTTCAAGTGATTTTCATGTCCTTAAGAATAACTTCTCCCTGCTTTTTGGTTATTTGCTATTTAAGAGAGAACACTGCGTGTACTGTGACATTGATTGGGACAGAAGAAATGGAAACACACTGTTTCTTGAGCTGTGACCCTTTGAAAAAAGATAAATGAAATTGTAATGTGCCTGGAAGCAATTTGACATTGTTCCAAGGAAACCTAGGCTTCCTTTTAGCCTTTGGGAAGTCTGAAGATACATGGTTGTTTAGTTGTTAAGTGAAGCATTGTTGCATCTCAGTCAAGATCCTGTTCTAATCCTGCATTTTCTTGTTCTCCTGCAGATAACAAGAAAAAAATATCCTGGAAGGGGAACAAATTTGTTTTATTTCTGTCCTGATTCAAATTTGTTCTTTGTCAATATTGTTACACATCTTTTTTTCCTTTAATAGTTGTCTCGAATGTAGTTCAGCTGTGATTTTTTGTAATAAGCTGGACATTATTCTGAGTTTTGTTTCACGAGATTTTTAGTAATAAATGATAGTAATAGTCTAGACGGAGAACAGATGTCTCCTTAATCATATATATGGTGATAGTTCCACTTCTCTCCATTTTCTGTTGTGGGACATGCACTTTAGGATGCAAGGGTGAATTTAGGAAAAAGTGTATTTTGAAAAAAGTCTTTTGCATCAGAATCGGGGTACATCCAGCAGCTGAAAATATTGCAGTGGTCTTTGCAATTAGTCTGCAGATCTAGTTTCCTCTGTAACTACGTGCAATGGAAGCTTCAAAGATTCTTTTCTTACTGAAAAATGTTGCTGGAAGATAATGGTTGTGTGAAAAGTTCCAGCTTTAAAAATAAATGAAATGAAACAGGTGAGGAGAATTTGGTTTAATTCTTAATACTGTAATAGCACTGGTTGTCATAAAGGCTTTTCTAGAAATAGAAATAATTCAAATGGAAGAAGAAACCTTCCTAATGACCAAGTTTACAGGTTTATAAATTATACGAATAACTTAAAATGGGAGGAATAACTGGTGATGATCTAGTCTAACTATCCGTTTGAGTCAGGGCAGTCATCGGAATTGCATCAAGTTGTTCAGAGCTTTGTTCAGTAGAGCTTGGAGCAATTGCAAGGATGGCAGTTTTACAGGCCCCGTACAACCTGTTCTGGTGTTTGACTGCTGTCATAGCAGAAAAAAATGCCTTCTTAAATGTAATGAGACTTATAGCTTCTGTTGCTTCTTGTACAGTGCAAAACTGCCTATGTAAAGATTTAATCTATCATTGCTATAACCCACCCCTGAGGTAGCTTTCCACCTGAACAGCCCCAAGCCCTTAGCTGTTCCCTGTACATCACGTGCTCCAGCCCTTGACCTCTGTGGCTCTCCCTGGGAATCATTCCTGTTGGGCCACCTCCCCCTTGCACTGGGACTGCTAAGGCACGCAGTGAGACTTCACAAATTTCAACGAGGAAAGTAATTGTTTCCTTTGACCTGCTGGCTACAGTCTTCCTAACGCTGTCCAGTGGGCAGTTAGTCTTCATTGCTGCAAGGGCACACTGCTGGCTCATGCTCAGGTTGTTACTCATCAGCACTGACAAATACTTTTCTGTAAAGGCCAACTTCATCTTAGTTCATGTATTTTGTGAAGATGTGGCTCAAGATAAAAGTTTCTATTCTGAAGAACTGAATCCTACTGTGTACTCAGTTTAATACATCTGTGCTCTGCACATAGCTAAGAAAGGTAATCATCACTAAACTTTGACCTAGATTTTTAAAAAGTCTCTCATATGAAGTGGAAGACTTAATCGTGTTTCTCCATAAATTCCATGTAAGGACAAAATCACTTCAGTGAGTTGCCATATATTTTGTAACAAAGGCTAACTTCTAGTAATGATACTGACAACATAAGAATCTAACTGGTCATTTGCTTTTATCTTGCTTTTATCAGTGGCTTCTATTGGGTAATGAATCTAATAAACACTTCTTAGAGGACTAACATCTTCAGTTTTCAGGAAGGTATTCCTGTGACTGTTGTGTTTGGAGCTAGAAGGGAAAGGTGTTAATAAGATACAGCAGTCTGTTATAATGAATTCTATCTGATGTCCTGCAATTGTCCTTCTCTGTTGGAAGAATTTGATGTCATCTGTATTGGATTAAAGCATGATGGATTTTTGTCCTCTGAATCAGTGGAGCACTCAGATTTAGGGCTCGTGGAAAATGAAGTCATGTTGAGGGTTATGACTGAGAAGATACTGCTTACTATTTGTCAGGATGTAGACCAGTTCTTCATGTATGGCAAGTCTAATTAAAAAAAAAAAGCAAAACAATTTGAAACAGTGTTCTACACACACTCCACCTCACTTTCTTGTCGCCTTCCTCTCAAGGCAAACAACCCCAGATGGTAGCATGATGGGATTTGCTAACAAATACTGAGTTGTTGGCTTCAGAAGGAATTAAAGGAAGAGGAAAGCATGGTCTGCTTCTGAACGGTGTAATTTTAAATTGTTTTTCTGTTAGCTGCTGATCCATTCTGCAGTTTCTGAAAATGCAAGACTTTGTTTTGTGGTTGTGACCTACTAGGAATGACAAAGTTCTTAAGTGCTATTTGCTTCTAGGAGTAAGCAGCTCAATACAATCTGATATAGAAGCTTCCACCACATTTGTAATGCTAATTGTGGAAAAGCAGTTGCCAGACTTTACTAGGGCAGCCTAAAATTGGCAGTGCAAACAAGCTTGTAAATGTGGTGGATGGTGAAAGACGACAATTAGTTATATATCAGCAATTAAGTATCCTAATGCCTAACAGACTTATTTCTACTAGAAACTGAACTTATGTAACATTTATGAACCTGGTGAAAAATGCTGTCTGACTTGACAGTGGCAAATTAATGCTGCTGAATGACCTAAGCTGTAAATGAAATTGGAGGATAGACAACTTTTTTATATTAGATTTGTTGAATGCTGCACTGTGTCTGCCTCAAGTCTTGCCGAGTGCTTACTTGCAACTTCTGAATCTTTTTGTCTGCTCCTACATCTTTTAACTGTAGAAAATGTGGTCACTACTTACCTACACCTATGCCAGAGAGTTCAAATGCTTTCATATTGTGTTGTAGGTAATAGGCTGCAGAAAAGCCTAGCAGGCTGTTTCCATGTTTTAACAGTGCTTGAATTCTGAAACTTAAGTGGGTATGTGTAAAATGTCACACTGAAATCTGCTGGGACATATGGAGTACTTGAGAACTTCAATATTAGACTGGAGGTATATCTCAGGCTATGAAATTAAGTACCCTGCTGTCACATCTCATTGGTCTTATATTCACCTTAACGGGCTGACATTGCTTCATCTGTGAAGCTGTGGTTTAGTGCTCACTGCTCTAAATGGAAGACTCAATGCTTGAAAGGTCTGCTGGCTAGGGATCTCTGATTTCCATTATAGAGGTGTATTTGGTAAATCTATATTACTTAATTTTATGATGAATTTGTTGTCAGTTTGAAGCTTTTGTGGAATTCTTGTTATTCTTTCAGTGCATCTGCAACATCCATTTTCCTCCTTGTCTTTCATTGT